ATCAATTCGTTCACACTATTTCATGTGATATCTTCTATACCATTATTCCACCCTCATAGCATATTCAAGTGTCTAGGTGATAATCATAACAACAATTTCATTCAGTGACGGTGGCTAACAGAATCTAAATAGAAGTCGAGAATTAGGGTAGAAGGTTAGTAGTTGTCAAACTTGGTCTAATTTACTTGTGAGTATTGTAATATTTGTGGTTTTTGCTTGTTCTCTTCTTGATTATTTTCAACACAGCTTCTTCATTACTATATTTGCTTTATGAACTTGATTTCCAACATGCCTACACAAGCCGAAGGTCGATCAGAAACAATCTCTCTACCTTCACAACACATGGGTCAGACTGCAATAGAGATGATGTTGTGTTGTCCATAATAAACTTGCACACATCTAGACTATTTCACCTTATACTTGCTATCTTTGACCAACATAAGTATCGAGTAACTTTGTCACTAAGGGGTCGTTTGGTAGAGTGTATAAGAATAATGCTGAATATGATGTATTAGTAATGCATGCATTAGTAATGCTTGCATTAGTTATGCTTGCATTATTTCTTATACATTGTTTGGTTTGATGTATTGGAAATAGCAAGCCTTGTATAAAGACTATTAAAAAAATATTTGTTTACAAAAATACCCCCACATTCTTTTACAAAAATAATAATAATAATTATTATTATTATTATAATTATTATAATTATATTAATAATAATAATAATTATTATTATTATTATTATTATTATAATAATAATTATAATAATAATAATAATTATTATAATAATAATAATAATTAATTAATTATTATTATTATTAATAGAGGGTAGCTTTGTCATTAGTTAATCTAATGCATGTATTAAAACCATTGCATTGCTAATACCTAGAAATCCATGGTATTAGCAATACACACTTTAATACACAATAGAGTGTATAACTAATGCAAGCATTAGTTGTACATAGGTTGGAAAAGAGTACCAAACAAGGTACTAGTAATACACAGTGCTAATGCATGCGTTATTTTTCCTAATACACTCTACCAAACGACCCCTAAGTCTCATACAAATGAAACGAAGTCACCTAATATTTTGTGTTATCATTGAGCTTTGAACTTTAGTTTAGCCCTCGTGGTTCTCTTCCAAGTTCATTAACTACTAGATTACATCCTTGGGTGCGATAACTGTGCTACATTTAAGGGGGTTATCTACTATATTTTGGTTTTTGAATATAGGACAATGTAACACTGAAGAAAATGGGGTTGATGTGTGCAGGAGGCTGGTCCTGGAGGTATAGGAGGAGGAGGTATATGGGGTGCAGCCACAGACACAAAGAGGGTATACACCGGCATTGCCAACACCGGTAACTTAAACTACACATTGTATCCATCGACAAACATTACAACAGGTGCAGCCTGGGTGGCAATGGATGCTCAAACCGGCAAAATCCTATGGACAACTGCAGTTCCAAACAATGGTAGATCAAACCCTGTAACTGTTGCCAATGGAGTTCTGTTAGCTGGTTCACAAAATCCAAGAGGGCCCATCTACGCCATTAATGCGAAAACTGGGAAGATATTATGGTCGAACGAGACTGGTGCAACTGTGTTTGGGGGTATGTCAGTTAGCAATGGCTGCTTTTATGTTGGCCATGGTTACAGATCTGGTATAGGAGCCTTTAATCCCAACAACACTGGTGGAACTTCACTCTTTGCCTACTGTGTATATTGAAATGCCAAATGATGTCCAACTTATAACTTTGGCAAATAATATGATGAAGATAGTAAATAAAGTACATGTTTGTGTGGCTAATTGTGGTTATCCGAGTCAGTTTGCTTTATGCTCACCTCGACTTATTTCGTCAAATACTTGCTACCTCTCATCAACACAAGTATCAAACCGAATATCTTAAAGATAGTGAAAATAACTTAAAATGAACTCAAATGAGAGATGAAACATACTTTGGCTCTAACAATCAAAATTCATTTGGCATCATTAAGACTCAACATTACTGTCAATATGAGTAAAAAGTAATGAGTTCTTTCAAATTAATATCTTAAAGCTTAAATCTTAGACATTGCAAACAAAAAAAAAACACAATTCTCCATTGCCTAGCAACTCTGAAAAGCATAAATCCTTCTTCACAGATCTTGCACGCTCAAACCTACAAGTAGTAATGCAATGCAACAGTTAAGTTCAATTAAAAAAAATGTTCCGCTACATAGCTTGAGTGTGTTAAATCAAGGCGGAGAGCTTAGAATTAATTAAGACACGGACATATAAACATTACAGAGAATATCACCATAATTGGCAAAAAGTAGCAGTCTAAGAGTGCAAACCTGGAGGAAGTGATTGCTTCAACTTGTCAGCCTTCTCAAAGTCGGACACACAGAGTGTGTAGAGGTATTTGGAGCAGCGAACCTTGAACTTGACCATATCCTTGTTCTTCTTGATCTTGACAGTTCGGGCATCCTTCCTTCTGGCTGTCAGAAGGAAATCCTTGATCTCGTGGATTTGCTTAGGCTACAAATAAATACAATGTAAACACTCAATACGGCAAATTGAATAATAATGAACAAAAACAGATCACAAAGAAGTCATTAACAGGCCCAAATACAGTATCAACTAATCAAATCTCCTGATGGAACATTTGTCGAACACAATCAAACTTAAGCATTTAAATGAAAATTAACAGAAAACAAGAAATCGCATCAATCAGATAATTACACCCAGAGGATGGAACAAAACGACAAGAGAAAGATTTCCATCCCCAAAAATGAAGATGTTACACATATACACATCACAAAGGAGCTCAATAAGTGGGCAAGATAATACTAAAGTAATAACTAAAGAAAACTCGCCACTACGGTAAAATTGAGTAACAGAATGAAATTGGGATAGAGCAGAACAGATAAAGAGGTCAAATCCAACTAGTTTGATGGATTTATACCATCTAAACTACCCAGACAAATGAAAGAAACACAAACTACTAACAATATGTAATGCATCCATATCATTAACTTGTTTCCCAAGTGCAGCCAACAGAGTGCTTCTCCTCGATACATCATATGAATAACAATCTAAACGAGATTCTTGATTTCAGATATCAAACTTAAAATAAAATGGACAAATTTTCTTGCTCCAAACAAGATCTAACGTTTCTCCTATAAAATCAAAAATAGTAACACATCCCACAAAAGTCTTCTGTATCTCAATCAACACTTACCTCTCGACCCCAAATCAATTCAAATTATGCTGGTCTAAAAGTGTTCAATTTATTTCCTTGTATCTTCGAAATAACAAACTAACACCATTGATTGCAAAACTAAAACTTCCAATAAAATGGTCAGACTTGTTCAAGATAAAGACTCATTACAAGTCGGAATCGTTAAACAAAGATGACATAATACAGAATAACAATCATTGTATTGAGTTCGAAACTTCAAATTATTGATTCCTAAACTGAATCTTCTACTAAAATAGCCAAACATGCTCCAAAATAACTCAAATACTTACACTACTAGTTTGACATTATAGCACTTCCTTCCAAAAGACTATTTTTACCTCAATAAACATGTCTAAATTTTTACCTTTTCAACAAAAAAAAAACACCCAAACTGAAGGAACCCACAAAACAAAGATTAATACAGATCTAACCCTCATGGTTTGTAGTTTGAAACTTCAAAATTCAAGTCAATATTATAAACCAAAACTAGAATTTCCAATAAGATAACCAAATTTGTCCCAAAATACAATCTTGGAGCAACCCCACCAAAGCTAATAGGATGAAACTCTACTATTCACACTAATTCCTCCAAAAACCTCGATTTTTATCTCAAAAAAACATCAACTTTACACCTAAATTTTTTACCTTTACATATAAATGGAACAAGAAAAACCACAAATAGAAGAAACCCACCAAATAAAGATTCATTACAAGCCAAAATCATTAAAAACAAAGATAACATAACACAGATCTAATTAACTATCATAGTATTTAACTCAAAACATCAAATTCAAGTAAAAATATTGTAAAACAAAGAAAATAATACAAAGAATTGATATATCTGAGATCAAAATGAGAAGATTAAGAAGAAAATGTACCATTTTTGGTAGGGAAAAGTTGTGCTAAGGAGAAGAAGACGGCGAGCTCAAAGAGATGGAGAAAAGAAGAAGTGAAGAGAAAGATGTATAAATATATGCTTTTGCTAAAACCCTAATCACTTAAAAAAATTATTATTCTTTTTTCTAATAAAATGGATAAATTAATATTAGTATTAAAGATTATTTCAACTTCAAACTTAAAATATCTATTTTTTAGTTTATTATTTCAATTTCAAACTCGAAATACGGATTTGATTAGTATTTTCCTAAAAAACTTCAATTTTTTTCTTAGTGAAATTCACATATAAGCATAAATTGACTTTCGAATATTTTTTTTAAACTTCAATTTCAAATATTATTTTATTTTTCTTTTAAAAAAACGTGTCTAGTAATTGCTTTGGGCCATGTTTAATCGGAATTGACGTTGAGAAGTCCCACTTTAGAAGACAAAATGCTTTTGATCAAAGGTAAATTCGTATTCAAAGCTCGAATTCGAACTCAAATCTGAACCATTTGATTTAGGAGGAAGGAGTACTTATTATTCTATCACAATCTTGGTATTTTTGTTTTTCTAATTCAACTTATAGTAAATATAATCCAAACACCTATAAATATGTTTTTTCGAGTCTAATTAAAGCGAAATCGAACGAATTTTTGTATATGCGTTAAAAAGATCCCCTATATAAGTTCAAAAATAATAGAATTCAAACATAATATATTAGATTATGATAGAATTCCGAACTCAAACTACAATAAATTGTTTGGTTGGCAATCTGTTCTTTCACCTTATTTGTGAAGGTTCGATGACGCCTTGTAATGCATACATATTTGGTTAAGGGTATTAACCCCACCACATTTCGCATGTTATTGCAAAACAACAAGAGAAGGACAATAACTATGTCAAATATTCTGAGTAAGTTGAACTCGACTATATGAATCATAATTATCCATATATCTCCATTTAAACCCGTCTCACGTTGAAGTTCTCTATATTTTCTATTGACATATAAGTCTCTAACAAACATTTCTGCTGCTGCAACATCAATTCCTTTCCTTACTCTTCAATTCTTTCAACATATTACAGAGGGTAGTTTCACCAAAAGAATACAGATGATCATACTTCCTGTACAACAATCTCGCTTCTTGCGCATTCTCTTTAACAAACAAACATATACTAAGAGTTCCGAATGATGTAGCAGTTGACGGATATGCTATTGGAATATCTCCGACCTGATTACTGTGTGTCGAAGGCAACTGCATATTGTCTTGAAGTAATAGAAATGATATCTGTATAGTTGTTGTTAGTTGCCTTCGATTTGAAGCAACAATCTTGGACTAAGATTTACACTTACTACTGATGGAGATCGCGTTATGAATATTCACGTGAAGTAGGGAAGCTCAGTCCGTCTTTTATATGGGACACCGCGGTGGGGCATAACCATTTTAACATATTCGGACCTAATACCTGTTAAATATCAATAGGTCAACACAGAATGCAACTTCATTACAATTTATGTAAGAGAGAGCGAGAGAGGGAAGAAGAGAGACGGTACCAGACTGATATTTTTATAAGCACCAACATCATAAGGGTGATGATAATTCGTCCCAGATTTACTTGCCAGCCATGCTGATCGTTTTGCCTCGTAGTACTGTTAAAGAATCTTTGCTTAGCAATTACATCAATAGGGAAATCCATGAGGTGAATCTAGTGTATTCGACAGTGTGATTACCTCTATAGTTGTCATATTACGCATTGTAAGGTAGATATGCCAGCCCAGGAGAGTTCCAAGTGTCAAGCTTAAGCCAATAAGCACAACACCAGTTGCAATCTGTTTAAGATTGATACATTAGATTTCTGCAACCACCTGGAATTCACTCTACCACACTATACGGGAAAGCCAGAGTAAAAGCTTAAATGATTTGGTTAAGCTCATTTCAAGGCATTATTTTGAACTCACCCCGTTGGAAAAAGTAATAACTAATATCAAGTAGAGGAAGACCAGAAGGAGGAAATATGATGTCCACTTGAAAATAAAATAACTTATTGGAAATATTTTTCTGTGCTGCTCAGACCCTCCATCCGTATCAGATTCTCCAAAAATACATAGCTGTTGGAGGATCCGATACACACCCGAAATAACTTTTGAAGAGTGTAAGGACCATAGATATTTTTAGGTCAGGATATTGCTGATGGTGGACCTAGCACCTAGCATAACAAATCTGTTAATGGTCAAGAATCACAGTATATGCGACTAATGGAGGGGTCATATGCTCCCTAATCTCTAGAAGGCGAAACGCTGAACTTCAATCAATACAACCAAATACTAGAAATATCTTCTTGAAGAAACTATTAGGAAAACAGTTCCCATCATACCAAACACACACTAAAGAACAATCAATAAGCTTTAGATAAAACATCACCCAAAAAAAAAAAAAGGGGAAAGAAAAGGCCAAAACTCAATACAATAGACATCAAACGTGTTAAATTATATATAATATGACAACTGACTCACGTAAAATAGCTTGAGATGCATCACTCCATCGAAATTCCAATCCTTATGAATTGCATCGCTCACCAATATAACCTGAAAACGTCAAACATTATACTCACACAAATTGAGCACAAATAGCTAAAGCCATATAGACTAAATTAACCATACCGAGGAATAGATTATAGCAATAGTTGCATAGAAGATTAAAGCCACAAACGCCTTGTAGTTCCTATGACCAACACAATTGTTTATCCAGCCACAATGATGATCCTGTTGAAAAATTATGGTAAATTAACAGACATACGCATTGTTTAGCAAATAAAAAAGGAAACATTAAAAAAAATGAGAGACACCCACCATCCTCAAAATACACCTTCGGCAGATACGGCAATGATGAGTCCTGGGCGGCTTGTATTCCGAACACTTATCACATTTCTTCTTAAGCAAACCCTGAATGTCAGGTATTCAACAATTCCTTAGATGGTGAGTGTACAAACAATAATTAGGTACTATTATTTTGCAGACATTTCTTTTAAGTGTGTTCATAAGTTAGTAGAGTTATTGCTCCGGCGTAAAAGAACAACCAAAGAGTACTGTAAAGACGTGGTGGGAATGCAATGGATAATGCATTAAGTATGTTGAATTGCGTGACCACCTCATCTAAAAGTTTAAACTATTATGGAAATCACACTTTTATTTACTTAAATGTTCCTTTAACACGATCTCTCACTTGGAAGATTGAATATATTATTTTCCACTAGCCAAGCATATTGTAATTTTTTTTAAGCGACCAGGAGACTATATCATGTTGAATTATGTAACCATCTCATTTAAAAGTTGAAACTATTAGAAAGTGAACACTTCCTCTCTCCCATGTGTATAGAAAATAGTGCTACACTCACACTATTTGTGTTTGCTTGCACCAAGAAAACAGAAGATAGAAACATTAATTCAATATATGTAATGCTACATATTCTTCGAAGGAATTTCGATCTCTTCTCCAGCCACACAGAGCACGTTACACAAATAGGTGTTTCCAGCAATTTCTTTGCATTCAATTTCACCCTGCATCCTCTCTATCCTGCTAAGATCCCTAATGACTAACCTGGGGTTACCCAATTTACTCGTAAGAGGTTCCGAAAAAACACTCTTTCTGATATGCAAGATCACCAATACCATAAAATCAGTTTCTCTTATTACATGATCAAAGGGAAGAAAAAAAAAAACAGAAAACCATTTTCTCTATTAACCATCCTTGACCTTGCCACATTGTAGGAGTAGTAACCACCCAACAAATTGTTCAAAAGGTTTAAAATTACTGAAACTTCTGCTCCAACAAGCCAAAGCTTGGCTATGCAATGTAATCCTATTCGCTTGGTCTGGCTATTGGATATTTTCCATTTTTACTAGAGATGTAGCATCATATATGACAATGTGCCAACATATAGCTGTCTGTGGAGATAAAATGTTTCTTTTTCTCACTTTGCTTCCTCGATAACTCTAACCCCACAACCTTATTATCAGAGGTTCTAAGGTCCTACCACCCATCACAGAACCAAGATTTACACTAAGAGGATTCAAAATATAGTTTCTTACTTTCTCTCGATCGCTTCAATGCCTATATCTTGAGAGATAAGAGGAAAGCCCTCTCTCGAATTCAAAGATGTAACACAAATAATGACTCCCTTCACCGGAATGTCAGCAGGTTAGGCACACGAAGAAGCCAAGTGATTTCAACATCTACTATCTATACATACTAATAATTTTGACCTTGTATATACAGTGTATTGAACCTTCTTACACTAGACTACCAAATACTATCAATCATCATATATTGAAACAAAAATATGATGCAACATAAAGATATAGAACTTTAGATCATTTTGATGTAAAAAGACATCAGTAAAGCTGCAACAACGCTAATAGCACTAAATTATCCTTTTTTTAGCAAGGCCACTCTCTCAAGAATTTATAGGAAATAAAAGTAGTAAAAGACACAATTTTTATAACTATAAGACTTACAGATCTTTTGGATTCTTGATCTGAAGCTTCATGATCTTCAACATCAGGAAGATATGAAAAAGGAACCCCACCTGGGTCTTTGAGAACACAAACAAAGAAACTGAATACACAGAGAGAAGCCATGAAAGTGAAGAAAAAAGAGTGAAATTTGCCAGCTGAGCTTTGTAAGCTCAACAAATCATCCAAGAAAATGAAAATTGTGAAATAGTAAAGAAAACCCACAAAAATTAACACACATAGAATGTGAATTGACAGGAATTTCTTGAGTTCCATTGATGATTTTTGAGATGGAGAAGAGAAAAAGGGAAGCTTTTAATTGTATTTGGTGAAATTCTTCAAGTTCAGTTCATTCCAACAAATTGGGCTTAATTTTCCAATTAAGAGTCCAAGAAAATAATAATTTGATAACAGGCCTTGAGCCCAAATAGTGTCACCTTTCATTAAGCCCACCCCATAGGGATTGTTTCACGAGCCATAAGTTTATATTTTCGTATCATAACATCTCATAAGTTATATTCGAGCAGAACATGTCACACTAGGCATAAGTTTGATGGTTAAAGAGCAAAAATTAAAATAAGAAAGTAGGGGCAAGTACACGCATAGCCTATTTTGGAACCACAATCTAAGTCATATCATAGTGTATACATATAAAGAATGATCGGTTGAATATCATTTGTCATCGCCACTGATCAATATTGTATACATATATACCAAATTTTGAACACTAGCTATTATTATCCAACTCTTGATATTGTCACTGATCAACATAATAACACAAAAGAGTTAGAGAACAATATAACTTTCCAAAATGAACTAAGACTAGGGTTTTCATGATATATATTTCACTTTTTGTTAGTGTAATATACCACAAATACAATAAGTTACAATTGTAAATGAAATTACAAAAATGAATAAATAATCATTCAGGCTGAGGCGTAGATATCTTGTTATCTTTAAGAAGATTCAAGCTCATTGAGGCATAATCTACACCTATCTAGTAGTAATACTCTTGACTTGTCCCCTTCAGGATACAATAATGTCGTACAACTCAAGCGACTCTGTATTAGTTGACGAGTTTCAAAACTCCACAAAAAGAACACCTTCCTTCAATATATAATTACTCTCTTTTGTGTAATGAATTAGTAGAAGACTTGAAAATATTTTCCTTTGTCTCAACTCTCTCTTTTACCATACTAACCTGAATATAAACTTCTCAATCCTTTTTTACATTGTTTTTCTTGTACATTTCTTATTGTACTCAACTCAAAGAAAGATCATCACTTATAGAAAATTATTACAATTATCTAGGTTGGTGCTTATCATTATAAGTTCACAACAAAACCCTTAGGATATAAATGTAAAATTTTTTGTGGTCCACAAAACAGTAGCATGTGATCATCACATGTCCTTAATTAGTTTTGTACTACTCTATAACTATACATCAATTGGTAAATTATACCATTCTTTCCGTTTCAATTAATGTGAATCTCTATTTTAAAATTTGTTTCAAAAGAATAAACATGATTTACATGAGAAGAGTGGTGGTGAAACTAAAAAAAGTTGATTAACTGGATTTAATACGACCTACGGATACACTTAAACTTTTATGTTTGATAGAGAATAAGTGAACAAAGACATACCAAAAAAACTAAGAGATCCAACATAAATTGTAGATAAATAAAAATTAATCTAAATCTTATATATATAGTGTAATTTTAATTTTTGGCAAAGACGTGTTTGAATTATAGATCTTCTTACGTTCCGTGGCGGAACTAGCTCCGCCACTAGAGAATATGTGGCTATGTCTGTTTGTGAAAAGCTAACAAGTTTAATTTTATGTGCGATAATAATATTTACATAATCAGATCATTTATAAAATAATTATAAATAAACTATGGTATATATAGTTGTTCCCTTTTTGCCCAAACTTGAGGGACCTAAAAATATGTTTATTTGCAATACTAATATGAGACAATAATAAGGACCTGTTTGGATTGGCTTTTGGCTTATGACTTATAAGCCAAAAGCCATAAGTTAGGATTTCTAACTTTTGTCTTTTGGCTTATTTTTGTTATGTATGCTTTAAAATAAGTGCTTATAAACACTTTTTAACTTTATCCAAACACTTTAAAACTGCTTAAAAGCTATTTTGGCTTAAAAACACCTAAAATAAGTCAATCCAAACGGGCACTAATGCATGTACAGGCTTTTGCTTAAATTGAGGGACCTAAAAATATTGTATTGTCTCCCAAAATAATAATAATAATAATAATTAAAAAAAGTAAATGAAATATATTGTTTGTACCAACACTTCATAGTCTCAATTAATTTACTTTTCATGGGGTCACTTAATTTTACTTTTTTGGAAATGTTTCTTTTTAAAGAAAATGGAAAATGTTTTTTAAACTAAACGTCTGATGATATTTGATTGAATATGAAATGTTTTCGAAAAACCTTTTCAATTTTTTTATTTGTGTGGAAAACTTTATCCTTTTCAACCACTTATAATACAAGTGCCAACCACTCAAAAATAAGAAAAATCCAATAATGATAAATACTACAAGGTACCAAGTTGATCAACCTAGAACAAATTCTATTAAAAGATTGTACTATGTAAGGTGGAAGTATATAATAACCACATGTGATTGGACTTATTGCACATTTCGGGGTACAGATTATTAAATGGTGTTTATTATAAGAAGTAACAATCTATCAATGTCCTCATTGTAGTAGCTTATATTTGCCTTATTGGGGCACCCAAATGTGCGGTTTAACGGTTAATGAAATAAGTTGAGAGTTACGAGATTTCGAGTTTAAATATTGACTGATTTTTTCTCATGTGTTCAAATATTGATGGACAGAATCACTCAATGCTTTCTGATATTTATTTTTGATTCTTTAGCTAGTTGTGAATTGGGTGTACCTTTTTCATATTGTTCTTTTCCATTCAAAATACTTATGTCGGTAGGAGTTACATCGTAATAAGTACCTCAGAAAATTGATGGACAAAATCACTCAATACTTATATCGGTAGGAATTACGTCGTAATAAGTACCTGAGAAAATTAATGGAGATAGATGCACTTTCTAATATTTGTTTTTGGTTCTTTAATTAGTTATGTACGGGTTGAACCTTTTTCACATTGTTCTTTTCCTTTCAAGATGTACTATTATTTTAATTTTTGGATCTTACCAATTAGGTATTATTAGTTGTACCTTTTAAACAAAATGTTGTAATCTCCAACTAATATTTTTTTTCTGATTTTTCTGAATTTAATGGTTCACAAAAGGAAATGTGTCTTATTTATATTCACAAAAAAACTCAGACATCACAGTATTTCATAGTACATAAAAGATGTGAATTACATTGACTTTATAATATAATGGACGATCAAAATTAATTATTTTTGTCTTCAATTAAATACTCCCTCCATTTCATATTAAGTTAATTTTTGAGGTATTTCACACCCTTTAAGAAAAGTAGATTAAGACATAAATTGAACCTAATTTTCCATTTTTACCCTTATTAATTATTGTCAAATTTATGATTAAAATAACTAAATATTAATTAGTTACTAATTCCAATACTAACTAATGAAGGGTAAAATTGGAAGAACACTCTAAAAGTAGTCTTGAAAACTGAACAATTAAGTTAATTTGAAAAATGAAAAATGCCTCAAAAATTAACTTCATATGAAATGGAGGGAGTACAAATTTGGACCATTTCTTTGTTCTTTAATTGGTTATGCATATCTGCATTTATTGTTATTAACAGAAAAAAATAATTATTATTAGTCCTATTTAGTAATGGATTATTGATGAATTATTTTTAAAAATTTATGTTAGTTACCAATTATCTATCGATAGACTAGTAATGAAAGTCTATTTTTTGAAGTGTCATAAGCTCATTTTCAACCAATCTACAATTAGGCAGCTCGATATAATGTCGGATGTATCATTATCATATTAAAAATTAATTTGGCATGACTCAATATTTTTATGTTCGACTTCGTTACTTTGAGATTTGATAAATCGGCAACTATAATTATGTTCGACTTCGTTACTTTGAGAATTATGACTCTGATTTTTCAAAAAAAAAAAAACGTATCAATTATATCTTATCAATTACACCTTAAACATATAATATACTATTCTATGATCTAATTGTCGTTTTGGTAATAAAAATGTTTATTTAGCGGGATGGGAGGTGGGGGGGGGTGATTTGAAAAGAAAGTACAAGCAATTTTCTCAGTTAATCAATTACACACCAAAAAAAAAAAAAAGAAAGATATTGCAATTAAAATAGAATAGTCAAAGTTCAAATGTCTGCTTTATTAATTATTTTTTAAAAAAACAATACGAGATATAAGTAAATTATTTATTTGTATGGTACTTATTTTTTTTTAATAAATAAAAAATATTTTACCGAATACTAAAAGTTTTAAAATAAATCCCAATGTCATAACAACAAAATTACCGTACCAAAAAAATTAATTTCAATATAATAATTCGATATGTATTGTCCGATGCATCTATATATTAATGGTTCAAAGTAGAATCTTATATATTAATCGAATTTTACTTCTCCATATTTATAGTATTAATTTTTTATTATGTTATTTAATCACCTAAAAATTAATTATCCATTGATCATTGATGTGACAAATAATTTTGGATAGGACAAATATCATTAGTCTCCTCTTAATCATGTATAAGTTTGAAATGTCAAACTCAATTTATAACTTTCAACACATCAATAATTAATGGAGGCTCAATTTAAAGTGCTTCAGCATATTAATCTAGATTAAATTGTTTTAACAAAAGTAATTCTTAATTTATGTATTATAATTGATTTCACAAAAAAAATATACATATTAACAAGAAAATATACATAAAAAAACTTCTTCCTAACTCCTTCCTTTTGCAAGCAACTATTCTACTATGTGCTGCTCTCTATAGCTATATTTTAGCCACGAGTTCTCCACCTTCTGCTTCAAAGACCTATATTTATTTGAAATTGCATCGTTAGGATTATCAAGAAAACTAGTTATGCATCTTTAAATATCACACAAGTTTTTAGAAGAAATCGCGAGGTGAAGAAACATAATTTAAGAACTTAATAATTAATTCATGAGGTATTTTATATCAAGAAAACTACACCATATTAACCAAAATAAGTAATTAATAATCAATAATCATATAGAATTAATCATAGTCAGAAAGAAAACTTACCAAATAAAGATAAATTGCCCAAATTTTCTTGTAGAATTAAAGAATCAAGTCATCAATTTGCCAATGCAGCATCATCAAGATTCTCATGTATTCAAAAATTGGGATA